GTTAGAACCGGAGGGAGGCAAGAAAGGCTGTGGAACTAATTAAGACGAGGCCAGGAGGAAGAATGAAGAAAGGCGTAACGACTAAACTGGGGACCAGGAAATAGAGCTTGGTGGCAACTGACATCGGGACACGGTCACACGCGGACTCTCCAGCGTCTCAGCTCACCATCTCGCCTTCTCTGTCGCCCTCCTGGCCCAGGCCCATCAGTAGCAAGCCTAAGCCGTCCCAGACCGCACTTACCTTGGGTCTGCAAGCTCACACCGGCTCGTGATGCCACGGAGAGGGCTCGAGATTGTCTCCGGTGGACCCCATCCGAGGCGATTGCGAGGGCTTTCCGGAGGCCAACACCGGCGCCACCGACCGTGAAATGTCCCGACCCGCAGCCCTCATGCACCAGGCGCAAGGATTCAGTCATAATATGTAGGCCTTGTCTCCCGAAGTTTTGAGCAATAGCCGCAAATAGTACTTTTCGGCAGTTCATCGCGACACGTCCAGGTGCCGATGAAGCGGCTTCCCAGCTCACCACCTCGCCTTCTCTGTCGCCCTCCTGGCCCAGGCTCATCAGTACCAAGTCTGAGCTGTCCCAAACCGTCCTTATTTTGGGTGATGAAGCCCACTCTGGCTCATACCACGGCTCTTACGGCCTCACTCACGCCCGTTTCACCCACAGACACGCCGCCGGCACGCACTCCCACTTCACACACGCTCAAACACAACCCCACCAAAGCACAGCCCTGATCAGAATGGGCAAGGGCTACCACTTGGTGACCCTGGTAGCCTCTGGCTCGCCACTGCACTCGGCTCCTCTGCAGCGGTCTCGCGCTCTCGCCACGACAGCACGCCGACGGCAAGCTTTGAGGTCCGTCTGGTGGACCTGCTGTGGCCAAAGCCGCCCCTCGCATGCAGCTCGCACCAGACCTCGACACTGGGCTCGCTCAGCTTGGTTGTGGCAGCGTGTGTGAAGGATGCGCGGCCGAGCCGCTGGCGCTGCTACAGCGGCGCGAGAAGCAGGCAGCGGCGCGACACCCGGTCGGTCGAGTCTGGCCGTTCTCTCGACGCCGGCCGGCGAGGGTGGCGGCCTGTGGCCGGCTGGTGGGCGGAGAGCAGCCACAACCGGCGTGGGGGTGCTCAGGAGGCAGCGGCGGCCAAGTGTCGACACTTGCTCAAAGGCGAAAGGGGGCGTGGAGTGGGCCTTTAAGGGGAAACCCGGTACACGGAGCCAACCCTCGGAGACCTGTGTTTACTTTACGGCCCTTGCCCTGCGAACGCGCACCCCCGGGGCTAGGGCTTTCTTGCCCGCAACCCGATCCCGATCATCCGGCCCGCTGGGTGCGCTTCTGAGCTCCCCGGCGCCCTGGATGTGAGGCTGATGACTGCACTCCAAGTGCTCCAAGCTCGGATAGAAAGAGGCAGACGACCAAGGATTCGGGTGGGCGACGGCTAGCACCACACTCCTCTCCTTAAAATCCCTGTGTGGTGGCGGCGTGGTGCCGTCCTCCCATCCCTCCCTTGGGTTGCACTTGGAGCACTTGGAGTGCAGTCATCAGCCTCACATCCAGGGCGCCGGGGAGCTCAGAAGCGCACCCAGCGGGCCGGATGATTGGCATCGGGTTACGGGCTAGAGAGCCCTAGCCCCGGGGGTGCGCGTTCGCAGGGCAAGGGCCTTAAAGTAAACACAGTTCTCCGAGGGTTGGACCCGCGTACCGGGTTTCCCCTTAACTGCAGGACGCCCCCTCTACTCGGAGCTAGTGGACATTACACTGGACACCACGCCCAAACAGACACTTGCTTAGTCCTTGGTCCCGGGGCTCCACCTTCGGTCCTCCCGGGGCTCCGGTTCTCCCCGATTCGCTCTCTTGCTCGCTTGCCGAGCGTCATACGACGGCCGGTGTGGTCGTTTCCCTCGTTGTTGGTGTCGCTTCCTCCGCTGCCGCCTTTCGTCTTCGCTAGCCTCTCCCAGCTCCACCGGTTCTGAGAGTGTCGGCGGCCCGGCCGGGGTCACCCCGGGTGAGAACGGTGGCATTGGGTCGCGACCAGTTCCACCCCCGGGGGGTCGACAACCCTCGGAGACCCGTGTTACTTTACGGCCCTTTCCCTGCGAACGCGCACACC